TCAACATTTCAAGAAAAAAGGGATTTTAAATATAATATCACCAAAACTGTACTAACATAGTATGATATCACAAAAGTTGTAGGAAATATTAAAATTATGCAAATAATAGGATTACTTCTATTATATTCTAAAATGTTTTTTTCCCCCCTCTGATCTATTTTTGTTCATCAGTTTATGTTGTTCATTATAATCCACAAGTGAGTGAGGTCATGGGTTATTCATCTTTCTCCAACTGGCTTATTTCACTTAGCATGATGCTCTCCAGGTCCATTCATGCTGCTGCAAATGGTAAGAGTTCTTTTTTCGCAGCAGCATACTGTTCCATTGTGTAAATATACCACAGTTTTTATTCCACTCATCTGCTGATGGGCACTTAGGCTGTCTCCAAATCTTAGCTATTATAAATTGTGCTGCTATGAACATAGGGGTGCATATATCCTTTCTGATAGGTGTTTCTAGTTTCTTGGGATCTTTTCCTAGAAGTGGGATTATTGGGTCATTTTTAATTTTTTGAGGAAACTCCATACTGTTCTCCACAGTGGCTGCACCAGTCTGCATTCCCACCAGCAGTGCAGGAGGGTTCCTTTTTCTCCGCATCCTCCCCAGCACTTGTCGTTTGTTGATTTGTTGATGATAGCCATTCTGACAGGTGTGAGATGGTACTTCATTGTTGTGTTGATTTGCATCTCTCTGATGATGAGTGACTTTGAGCATGTTTTCATATATCTCTTGGCCTTCTTTATGTTTTCTTTCAAAAAAGTGTCTATTTAGGTCCTTTGCCCATATTTTAATTGGAATGCTTATCTTCCTTTTGTTAAGTTGTATGAGTCTACACTGACTCTTGAGTGGAGTGTTCTAGCAAAAATTAAACTTTAATCTTCGGGTGATGATTAACAAATATATAAATCTTCACCCGAAGTTATTTTTTCCCATTGATTTTTAGAGAGAGAGAGGGGACAGGAAGGGGAGAAACAGGGAGAGAAACATTGATGTGAGAGAGACACATTGACTGGTTGTCTACTGCACATACCCTGACCAAAGCCAGGGATGGAGCCTGCAACCAAGGTATGTGCCCTTGACTATAATTGAATCTGAGACCCTGTAGTCCAAGGGCCGATGCTCTAACCAGTGAGCCATAGCTAGGGCTATTCCCATATTCTTGATGACCATTGTAATTTCATACACTTCGCTTTCTATCATTCAATTAAGTACTTATGGCAAACTCTGTCTCTTTGTTCATAATCAGAAACCAAATCCAAACTTTTGCTTCAGTTAAGTACGAAATAGATTTTTCATGTTTATACTAGTCTTATCTCTTTATAATCCTAAAGTTTAAAACTCCTAGAATCGTGTCTCATTAGTTGTAATTTGTTGGTTGATTTTATGATCTACATGGCCATTTTATGATGGATAAACCATACATCTCAGGCATTGTCCTTTCTTGTTGAAGACATTAAAATGTGATGTAACTCATCTTTTGATAAAGTAACGGACAGTCTGACAGCATACACAATACTTGCTCTTGCATTACATAAAAAGGAAGTATTTCAGTGATGAAACGGGTCATTATATTTATTTACTTACATATGCTTATTTCTGTAGTCCAACAACATCTCTGATAAGATATGCATTTTTTAAAATAAATCACCTTCTGAGTTACTACAGACTGAGACACAGATGATGGTTTGCTTAGTGCCACATGACAAGCTAACTTCAGAACCATGGCTACCATTTGTGGTCCTACAGACCGGAGTTCGGGTCCTGTGGCCAAACCAGCTTGAAATTGGATTGCCAGGGTGCATGCCAAAGCCATGTACTGCGGGCTCAGTTTTGGAGAGCAGCTCCTTGTGGCTGGGAATTTTGAAGTCCAAGTCTGCCAACTTTTATTACTCTTTGCCTTTGTGAAGTCAAAGAAGTCTCTGAGCCAAGTGAGAAGATGCGAATAAGATTGGTGTACTTCCTGGTACCGTGGGCTGACCACAGTCATTCATTATCTGATAGTTTGTGAGGTGGGAGCCTGCCTGGCAATACACTGGGCCTGGCAATCAGGCACCGTTGTTTGCAGAGCCCAGTTGATTCGTAAGTAGTTAATATTCCTGACCCTGAACCTGTCCCCAAAGGTCCAGACTAGAGTCTGGTCTATTTTCAACTTCAAAAGCTTTATTGGCCAGAAATGACCAATTCTTGCAAGAGTTTTCCTGGAAGATATTTGTACACCTAGGGGTCTCTGGGTGACAGGACCTCGGATCTCTGACCTGTGGTTTTAGGGGGGCTCTCACTCATTGACTCAGGATAGTCTGGGACCCTTACAGGCATAATGAATAATAAATTCACACCTAACCAACTAATTCACATGGATGTGTTGAGTCAGGGCAACTGGAATTTGAATGCCTACTTGATATGGGTAACTTACCTTTCTGCTCTGAGGAAGGGCCCATGTGCTATGCACCTGCAAGGTTCCAGTGGCTCACGGGTGGTGGTGAGGATTAGGTAAGAGAAGTGATGTACAGAAAAGACACAGATAGGCAGGCTTCAGAGAGGCTGGTTCCTTCCCTTTGGCCTGATAGCATGCCACAAGATCGCCATGGACTCAGGGACATTGTGACCAGGATGTCGTAGAATCTGAAAACAGGAATCCACTGAGGACAGAATAGTAGAAGGTTATCGCATGGGCCTGGAAGTCTTCCTTAATGATGCCTATGTGAGTTAAAGATTTGTCTGCCTGTAGAATACTCTGGAATCATTTTTCAGAAGAACCTTTTATGTCTGGGAGAGGTGGGCACCCAGTTTTGGCAACTACTCAAGCTTGTTTTTAAATGGTTTGATAGCTTCAGGGAGGCCTCCTCAGAGCTCAGAAATTCAGAAACGGTTCGTGTCTGTAGAGGAATTCCTTTCATGTTTAAGCTCTGAGCTCAGCCAAGAGCCTTGGAAATTTTGAATCTCGTGTGTTTTTTATCCTGAATTAGATACGCCTTGCTCAGCTCAGATTTTGACATGACTTATTTCAAAAGCAAAAGGTTCACTTCATGAAATAATCCATAGTCCCATCACTTTTCTCCTTCAGTGGCATTTTGATTCTGATTTAATTCAGTGACATGAGGACAGATTTTAGACCAGGAAAACAGAGCCCCTCATTTGTTGCCCAAAGGACGAAATTTTTTTAAATAGCCCTTTATTGATTTCAGGGAGGAAGGAAGAGGGAGAAACATCAGTGTTGAGAGAGAATCATTGATTGGCTGTCTCCTGCACGTCCCTTACTGGGGAGCGAGCCCACAACCCAGGCATGTGCCTAAACCGGGAATCCAACCGTGACTTCCTGGTTCATAGGTCAATGATTACCCACTGAGCCACACCGGCCAGGCCAAAGGACTAATTAAAAAAAAAATTTTTTTTCTTTAATGATTAAGGTATTACATGAGTCCTTATTCCCCTAATCCTCTCACCTGCCCCCTGCTCATGCCCTCACCCCCCAGTGTCTGTGTCCATTGGTTAGGCTTATATGCATGCATACAAGTCCTTTGGTTGATCTCTTACCTTCCCTCTCCCCTCCCCTACCTTCCCTCTGAGGTTTGATGGTCTGATCGATGTTTCTCTGTCTCTGGATGTTTTTGTTCGTCAGATTATGTTGTAATTATATTCCACAAATGAGTAAGATCAGGGATTGTTTTTCTTGAACTGACTTATTTCGCTTAGCATAATGCTCTCCAGGTCAATCCATGCTGTTGCAAATGGTAGGAGTTCCTTACTTTTTACAGTAGTATTCCATTGTGTAGATGTCCCACAGTTTTTTAATCCACTCATCTGCTAATGGGGACTTAGGCTGTTTCCAAATCTTAGCTATGGCAAATTGTGCTGCTATAAACATAGGGGTGCATATATCCTTTCTGATTGGTGTTTCTGGTTTCTTGGGGGATCACTGGGTCAAATGGGAGTTCCACTTTTAGTTTTTTGAGGAAACTCCATACTGTTCTCCACAGGGGCTGCACTAGTCTGCATTCCCACCAGCAGTGCATGAGGGACAAAGGTACATTTTTTAAGGACCATGTTAGAGTGTGTTAGGGAGGACATAGGGACTTGTGGATTTTTGCTTTCATTTGTTTTCTTATTTTCCATCTTTACTTTCGATTTGATTCATTTTAGATCCCAGGGAACGAAATTCCATGTGGAGGGGGTTTTGCTAATAGTTCTGAACCCTAGGGAAAGGTGGTGTCACCTCTGTGGTCTTGTCTTCCTAAAACAGCTCCTATCAAGAAAGGATAGACGGAGGAAATAGAAATCATGTGTTCTGCTGGAATATGTCTTTAATTTCTTGCCTTTTTAGCAGCCTTAAGTGACAGGGCTTTATACTTTTGGAAGATTACAGGGCTTGCTTTCTTGCTGAAATAGTCACCCTACCACGTTCTTTTATCTGCCTTAGTTCTGAGAATTTTTTTTTTATTACTATTATTATTATTATTTTTTTGCACCAGGGGATTTGATTAAGCTTCAGGAATTACTCATTTCATAAAGGTCACTTGCTTTTTATCTTCTGGGTCATTTAGGGTTTGGCGGGTGGAATGAGACGAACAGAGATTGTTGAAACCAGGATTAGGAGGCCGGGCTTGCGTTTACATCTGTTAAGTGGCTAACCCTCTGTCACTTCATTTTCACTACTGTCAAAAAGAGATACTATTTGCTACTCAGAGTGTGAAGCATTTTCAGTTTCTGAAAGGTTATGCAAGTTAATTAAGCACTGCTAGTAAGGCCACATTCATTGACCCTCACAATTTCATGATCTAAGTTGGACATGCCATTGAATTTTCTGCCCAAAGACTTACTCAGGAAGTTTTGTCTAGAAAAAGCTTTGGGCAAAGACGCCCATTCCTTCATGGCCTTTTTCTTCATGTGCCAGTGGGACTCTTACAGTATTCCTTCTAACGTGGCATCTTTTAGATACTCCTCAGAATGGGTAAGTCCTTCGTAGCATGAAGCGCTAATTTTCCTCACTCAACACTGAACAATAAAGCCCCGAATTTGTAGCATTTGCCCACGTCTGTGGTGTCAGTTAATACTCCTGTTATGGCCAATTTCTAACTGCCTGGGATGAACAAATGGTTCACAAAATCCTTGAAAATGTAATAGCACTTCCATGCCAGGGCCAGCCTGCTCCAGCACTGTGCACGGCCTGCTTTAACGTCTGGTGGCCATGGTCACTGTTGTCCCCCTCTGGGCACAGCCTGTGCAGAAGACAGAGGGAAGGCCCAGGGAGCGATGTGTGACACCCTGTCCGGCTCCTGGAACCATCGCTGATTGGTGTATGGGAGGGTCACCCCCCAGGGAGGCCATTCCATTGTCTGGACAATGCCATATGTCTTGGCATAAAGAAATAAGTAGAGCCGAAACCGGTTTGGCTCAGTGGATAGAGCGTCAGCCTGCGGACTGAAGGGTCCCAGGTTCGATTCCGGTCAAGGGCATGTACCTTGGTTGTGGGCACATCCCTAGTGGGGGGTGTGCAGGAGGCAGCTGATTGATGACTCTCCCATCGATGTTTCTAACTCTCTATCTCTCTCCCTTCCTCTCTGTAAAAAATCAATAAAATATATTAAAAAAAAAGTAGCTAAAACAAATTTGGCACAATGGATAGAGCGTCGGCCTGCGGACTGTAAGGTCCCAGGTTCGATTCCAGTCAAAGGCATGTACCTTGGTTGTGGGCACATCCCCAGTGGGGGGTGTGCAGGAGGCAGCTGATTGATGACTCTCTCATCGATGTTTCTAACTCTCTCTCTCCCTTCCTCTCTGTAAAAAATCAATAAAATATATTTTTTTAAAAAGTAGCTAAAACAAATTTGGCACAATGGATAGAGCGTCGGCCTGCGGACTGTAAGGTCCCAGGTTCGATTCCAGTCAAAGGCATGTACCTTGGTTGTGGGCACATCCCCAGTGGGGGGTGTGCAAGAGGCAACTGATTGATGATTCTCATCGATGTTTCTAGCTCTCTATTCCTCTCTCTTCCTCTGTAAAAAAACAATAAAATATATTAAAAAGAAAAAAAAAAAAAGAAATAAGTAGAGTTGACCAGAATCCCTCCTGGGAGCTTGAGGAAAGGAATCCCATGTATGTTTTGCCAGAGGCAGGAACTAAAAAGGGTGCCGTTTGAGAGCTGAACCCATGACAGACTGAAGTCACACAGCAGCCGAAGATGTGATTGGAACAAGCCACGTGGAAACGGAAGAAGCTGAGAGAAGGGAACAGAAAGCCCACCTCCTCTGAGGGGCACCCAGCCCGGGAGCTGCCCTCGCTCCCCGCAGCTTCCCAGTTCCAGCCCAGACATCCCTTTTCTTGAGGCGGCTTGAGTGGGTCTCTGTTCCTTGCAACGTAATGGCTCAGTGGTTACGGTGTGCTCCTCGGATACAGCCAAGTACTGTGCATCTCGGACCAGGGGAGGCCAGTTCAGCCTGAGGTTACACAGGCCTGCCCCTCACTTCCCGGGGCACCCCCTCTCTGCACACCTCCCAAATGGCTGGTGAATATTCTTTTCAGCAGAACTGGCTTGGTGTCCCGGTGCTGGAAGAATGGCCAGTGGGCCATGGGGTGGGGGATCCTGGCTTGGCACTGGCCCTCAGAGGCAGTCGTGAGAAAGTGGGAGCCATCAGCAGCGGGGAGAAGGGGCTCTTTATTAGCCGAGGGCATCTGGAGCGAGCGGATGCGAAGCTGGCCTGTCCTGCCTGGTATGAATGCCATAGGGCATGCCCTACCGGCTTGGCTCAGTAGATAGAGCATCGGCCTGCAAACTGAGGAGTCCCAGGTTCGATTCCGGCCAAGGGCTTGATCCCCAGTGGGGGGTGTGCAGGAGGCAGCCGATCAATGATTCTCTCTCATCATTGATGTTGCTATTCCTTTCTCCTTCTTCCTTCATCCCTGAAATCAATAAAGAAATATATATATATTTTAAAATGCCACAGGGCAGCCGAAATCGGTTTGGCTCAGTGGTAGAGTGTCGGTCTGCGGACTGAAAGGTCCCGGGTTCGATTCCGGTCAAGGGCATGTACCTTGGTTGCGGGCACATCCCTGGTGGGGGGTGTGCAAGAGGCAGCTGGTCGATGTTTCTCTCTCATTGACGTTTTTAGCTCTCTATCCCCATCTCTTCCTCTCTGTAAAAAAATCAATAAAATATATTTTAAAAAAATAAAGTGCCACAGGGCAGATCTGAGCCTTACCTCGACCCTGTCTCATGGGCCCACCACACGCACACTGGGGAGAATGAAGTCAGGAAAGGGGAAGTCACCGTTTTCGCCCAAGGCTTAGTCCTTCCCAAGTGAAGTAGGTGCTTCGGGCGTCCAGGGCCCAGCATGGCAGTGGGGGCATTGCTGGGTGGGGGAGGGCTCTCTTAAGAGGGACATTGGAGGCTAGGGGAGGGTAAAGAGGATACTTGAGAATCAGCAAATGTGATTCTGCTCAGAACTCTTTCCCCAACAGCTGTTTGACTCACCTGAGTGGCTTCTTGGGGGGATGGGGGGGGCGAGGAGGGGTGTCTCAGTTTCCTCAAACGTAATGAAGAATTTTTCTGCCAGGAGTTTGACGTTCTATTTGAGAAATAAAGCTTCTTTGAGACTCCACTGAGAGCAATGGGTTATTGCCACAGAAACTGGACTTTGCTAAATTTTCAGGGACTGATGGACCACAGATTAAGAGGAACCCCTACAGCCCTGGCTGGTGTTTGTTCAGTGGTTAGAATGTCAGCCAAGCACCAGAGAGTCACCAGTTCGATTCCCGGTCAAAGACATGTACCTGGGTTGCAGGTTCGATCCCCAGCCCTGATTGGGGGGGGCTTGCAGGAGGCAACCAATCAATGTTTCTCTCTCTCTCTCTCCTCTCCCTCTCCCCCCCCCCTTTCTCCTTCCCTCCCTTCTTCTCTCCCCCCTTTCCACTCTCTCCAAAAAGAAAAAAAGTCATTGAAAAAATATTATTGGGTAAGAATTATCAAGCAAAAAGAAGACCCCCTACAGTAGGTGATAGCTCAGTTCTGGTGTTTCTCGGTCTGTAACATTTCATTCCAAAACTCTGGCCTGGGAGGAACCTGGCAGGTCAGCAAGGGCCTCCTTCCCGCAGTGAGTGACTCCTCTGAAACATGCGGCGGAGGGAGGCGCAAGCAGCAGGCAGTCTGTTTCCGCAGAATCCATGACCTCTTGAGGTGTGTGTTCCAAGGAAGAGACAGACTAAATTTAAAGCATGTGTCAGATCATGTCAGTTTATGTTAAAAGCTGTGAGACTATTGATAAGAGAGCATAACAGAGAGAGAACGGGGTGGCTGATGTAGTTTAGTTAGGGGCTGAGGTCCCTTCCCTGAGGAGAATTGGGAAAATACCTGAATAAGAGAAGGAAGGAGCCATGCACAGGCAGAGAGTGTTCCAGGCTGAGGGCTTGCACAATGGAGGAGCAGGAGGAGGGCTGTGGCTGGGCCTGACTGAGGGAAGGGGGTGAAGGGGCGTGGGAGGACATAGGTCCAGGGGCTGTCATAATTCTGGAGGGGGCAGTTTTCTGTCCCCACGTGAAAATCAGTTGTTTAGATCTTAAATGGTATCTCAGTAATGGTTATCCATTAAGCCACCCATTCATTCGATACATTTTGTTCGTCAACCGCAATGCTCCAGGAGGCAGGGAGCTAGTTGAGTAAGTCAGTGTGGTCTGGTGTGTCTTTGGGAAGATAAAGGTTTGACCGCACCAACCGAGACCAGAATCTACCTCCAGGATAGGAGGCCCCGGCCACTGCTCTGTTTTGGTTAAAAAAATTCCCCCGGTGGTTCTTTTTTTGCTGATTTTAGAGAGAGGAAGAGAGATGGAAAGAGAGAAACATCAATCGGCTGCTTCCTGTGTATTCCCTTCTAGGGAGTGAGTCCACAACCTGGGCATATACCCTGAGCAACCCCTTGGTGCATGGGACATGCTCAACCCACTGAGCAACACTGACCAGGCTTCCAGTGATACTGATTGCAATTGCTGGACCTGCCCTGGGGGTGCTTTTTGAATAAGATAGTCCATCTTCAGACAGCCTGTGGTGAACTGCCTGAATTATTGCATGCACAAGGGAAATTAGGATTTGTTTCACAAGAGAAGTACAAAGTGTGCTAAAGTGGGTTTTGGAAGAGGAATGGGTAGTTTCCATCCGAGAGGTCAGGAAGGCCCAAGGCACAACTGAGCCATTTCCTCTCCCATGAAGTGGGGAAGATCTCAGAACCGACCGGGTTGAAGAGCCAAAGTGAGTACTAAGCGCCCAAGAGACTGCCAAATAAACAGGGCCTGATACGTAGAGAGGGCTCAGTACGTGTGACCAGTCATTTCAGCGGATTATTAAAGAATGGGGAGAATTTCTCTCTCTCTCTCTCTCTCTTTTTTTATTTTTTTTAATATATTTGATTAATTTTTCACAAAGAGGAAGGAAGAGGGATAGAGAGCTAGAAACAGCGATGAGAGAGATACATGAACCAGCTGCCTCTTGCACGCTCCCCACTGGGGATGTGCCTGCAACCAATGTCCATGCCCTTGACCAGAATCGAACCTGGGACCTTTCAGTCCGCAGACTAACGCTCTATCCACTGAGCCAAACCGGTTTTGGCAAATGGGGAGAATTTCTGAACTAGAATGTGCGATCTCTATAGGTTGTCATTTAAGAAGAGCTTTTTTTTTAAAAAAAAAAAAAAAAAAAAGCTTCCACATACAGGCCATTTATTGAAATAGCTATGATGTCTTAGTTAAGGCAATCCAAATTTCCCAAATAAATCAATCTGTGTAACTTGTACAGGAAACGTGCTGCTTCTGGCATTCATTGGTGCTTAATCCGATACCTTTGAACCTTCTTCATCGCACCTCTTTATTGGACTGGCTTTTCAGGAACAGCGGTGGGCCTGGCGCCCGCGGGCCGGCCTCTGTGCCTGAGGCTGGAGCAGGAGCTTACAGCCTGGTAGGGGAAATGAGGACACAGGAAATCTCAGAAACCACGATAGGCCGAGTCTTCATTACCTCGGTACCACCTAGGAAGGAGGCTGGCTGTGCATCTGCCTGCAACATCTGGATCCCATTTCAGTTGGCATGTTTGTTTGAAAAGCAAATACCCACACGTGTCACGTGACTGACCAGTTCATCCTAAGTAGTTTAGAGAGTGTCTGAATCATTTTGCTCATATGGGAAGCTTGCAAGTGGGAGGCCTGAGACCCCCGGCCCCCCGGGCTGGGTTTAGGAAAACCTGGGAGGAAGGCTCTGGAAGACAGCAGCATCTCCGAGATGGCTCGGCAGAGTCCGCCCCCGCCGCTGGCTTGCATGTAGATCTACTCAGGAGGTAGATCAAGGCAGCGTGCCTGGGCTTTAATTGACCCCGGGATTTGGACTGCCAGAACCGAAAGAAAAAAAAAGAAAATAAAAGATCAATCTGTTGTTTAGAGAATATTCCCTGGCGGTTCACAGGATAATTGCTGGATTCCAAGAAAAGGGCGCGGCTGATGGTTAGCGGGAGCTGTGTGGATTGCTCTTAGTGGCTGTGGGTGGGCCGGTTTGCTGGAGAAGGCCCCCTGCCTCTCTCCGCGGAGTGGCCGGCTGTGTGGGTTGGAATAGAAGATGGAAAGTTGAGCCCCGGGCTCAGTGGGAGTCTAATCAAGAGGAAAGTTTCCTGTGGATCAGGCCCAGGCCCTGCTGGCGGGGAGGCCGCTCTGTTTCCTGCCTGAAATGCACGGCCCGGCCAGTTACAGCGCTTCCCTGGGGGCCCGCCTCAGAGCCCTCTCCCTGGATGGTTGGTTGTTTCACACCAGGTCTGGGCCACCTGGGGAACAGCGCGAGTGGAGCAAAACGGAGCCAGAGGTCTCTCCCTCTCCGGCTGGGAAAGCTGCCTGTGGCTTTGCCTCTGTGCCTTTTCTGAAGCCTTTCAAGGTGTGAGAAACCGGAGACCCGGGAGGCAGAGCTGGGCCTCGGTTTGGGTTCTCCCCTCGCCCGGCCAGGGCTTACTTAGAACCTCTTCCCAGTCACCTTCCGGGAGGAATGAACTTTCGTGGCCAATACCTCCTCCCTCCCCACACCCCGAGAAGTATAACACCGAAGAAATGCGTGTCCACAATGGCAGTCATTCGAATCCTCACATCCTGTCTCCTCCTAAGCCACCGGCAGGCAGGGAGCTGGGAAGTGTCCCCCTCCTGACTGTGGCCCTGGCAGAGGCCCTGGAGG